CTAAATATGCCGTTCGACAGTAGTTGTTTAACTTCTGCATTGACAAATTCAGACACACCCATTGGGCATGGGTATAATTTTGAATATACCGGTTCGCCGTCTGTTCGGATTGTGGCTATAGTGTTTATGTTGTATGGTAGGGACTCATTAATGTCTGCAAAGGCATTAGCCATTCGGTCAATTATTTGATTGCAGGTGGGTCTGACTGCGGCGGGAACATCCGCGTCACTAATTTGGAAATGGTTCACTTGTATGCATGTTGTGAACTCAATTTTTTCTGTCCCCTGGTCATATTTTATAATGTTGTTTTCTGTTTTAGCAAATCAAGGCCAATTATGCCATCGAAATCTTTTAATGATTCCAGCATGAAAAAGTATGATTTTACCTTAAAGAGGTCAATGAGACATTTCTTCTCAATTGTTGTGTACCGGGAAGGGGTTTAATATAATTTTTAGATGCTCCTGTGTCTACCAGGAGTGTTATTGTTCGCCGTGCACCGTACGTCTTATAAACGGGAGCAGGGAGCTTCCGCTAAAAAGTTACAGCTTTCCGCTCCCGAAAGGTCGTCTTCGACTGCCTCTGCTTCATGCTGCGAGTGCGACTCGTAACCCTCGTTACCTTCTGCTTGGGGCAAATAGTTAATATTTTGTTGGGTCCTCATAGACTGATCCCCATAGTTTTGGTTGCCTCTATAGCCCTGTGTGGGCTGTCTAAAGCGTGTGGAAGTATCTACTTCCATTGGGTTGGGGCCACGCCCTTGTGGCTTTTGGGACTGAAAGCGCTGTTTTGAACTGCTTGCTTTTTGCTGACCTTGATTATTGTCTTTCTGACTTTTCTGAATATGGGGGTTCTGTTTCTGAGAGTTACTCTCATTCTCTGCTGACCGTTCTTACGCCAGTTTTGGCTCTTTGCGTTGCGAAGTTGGCTGCAAAGATGCCTCTTTCGTTGCTTGACTCAGCTTCTTGAGCTAGGGCCAAAACAGTTGGGAGGTCTTGAGGTTGTGCTGGGAAAACGGCCCATCTCAAGGACTTTCTTAATTCCGAGACAAAAGTATGGAGAGCATCATTCCTGAATTTTTCGTTTAGGACAGCCGCTGCGGCGGTAGCGATAGCAGTTCGTTTGAACCGTTTGAGAATAAATTTAAAACTAAACTTAAAGTAACTTAAATGAATGCGCGAAGCCGCCGCTGCAGGCAGGCAAGCCGGCAGAATGCTGAGTCGGCGTCTTGGGCGTGCGAGTATCGAATTTCGTCTGCACCTCTGTTGCAACGGCATCCGGCCCAACTGCGTTATCAGCTATTATTGTCTCGCGCGTGTTAACTTGTATGTACAAGCGCATCAAGGACGTATTTATCTATTATTATAATTTTTGAAAATACAAAATTAACTTGTTTTATTTGATATGCTCATGCAATTACGAGTGCGAATATATACGGCCAGACATCTTGGATAAACTGTCAACACCCACCACGATCAAATGATGCACTTCTATGCTGGGATACTCGTATGTATCAATAAAATTTTTACAAAAACAGATCGTTTTCTCACTTGCAATTTGCATATGACGATGTTACGCAGGATACCAGAAGCTCTGCTAGATTGTGTACGACAGCCACGCAAAGTGTTACAGCGACCCAAGTCAAAGACGAGTACAATAAATGTTTGAGTTTTTTGTGGTAACATTTAATGGACGCGTCTGACCCAGCAAAATAAATTCCACATTGGCGTCCAGCCGAATGAGTGCGAGTTAGTTATGAATAGTTCATTATTCCCTTTAACCTCTCGAATAATCTCCTGTACAATCTGCAGAAATTGTGGTAGTGGTTTTGTTTAAATCCAGCAGCTGGTGTGGCACATATATATACAGATTGTCAATCGTCCTTACGCCCCGCTTCCTTCACCGAACGCTCCACTAAGAGCAAGCGTCATTGGTAGGTACTCCAAAGTCCCACTTGTAAGTTTTGTGCAACCAAATCTTAACCTCCAAAGTACAATTTCATTATTTATTGCAGTTGTGTTGTTATTGTATTGTTAACGCCCATAAAATTCGATTGCATCGTGGGTCGCAAAGGAAACACGAAAACTGGTAGACATGAAGACGCAAAACCTATTAAAAATGATTTGGTTGTTGACCTGTTGCCATCGACTTAGGCCTTCTACAAATTCTAATTATATATATATTTATATATGAGGAACAGAGTAAAACTAATAAATGCCGAGTGTGGTCAAGGCATCTTGAAAAACAAAAAAGTTTTTCATATGAGAGCCTATTTTTCGATCGTTCTTATGGCAGCTATGTGATATAGTGGTCCAATGTAAAAAAGGTTTTGCACAAATGTAGGGAGCATAGTGAAGCCTTTAAATGCAGAGTTTGCTCAATATATCTTGAAGAACAAAAAAGTTTTCCTTAGAACTACTTAATATTCGACCGATCGTTCCTATGGCAGCTATATGATATAGTGGTCCCATCCAGCCGTTCCAAACAGACGGACGATCAGACGGACATGGCTATATCGACTAGGCTGTTGATACTGATCAATAATATATATACTTTATAGGGTCGGAGATGTCTCCTTCTATGCGTTACACATTTCACGACAAAGTTATAATACTCTCTGCAAGGGTATAACAAATAAAATTACATGATTTTACGGATGTATGATGTGATATTTTGTTGCTTACCGTCCGATTGAGTTCAAACTCATCTTAAAATATATATTTAAAATACATTTTAAAACTTCAGGTTCATTGGAGGGCGTGAAGATACTAATTTCCTAGCGAGGGAATGGGGGAAAATTGAATATTAAAATTTGATAAAATAACTTGGCCTGATAAAAGCTGAATTGTTAATGCTAGTTATTTATATATATTTTTAAAACTAAACTTCAAATTCTATTAATAACGCAAAATATTAATTTTTATTATACCCTGAACCCATTGAAAATGGGTAAAAAGGGTATTATGTATTTGTGCAAATGTATGTGACAGGCAGAAGGAAGCATCTCCGACCCCAAAAAGTATATATATTCTTGATCAGCATCAACAGCCGAGTCGATCTAGCCATGTCCGTCTGTCTGACCGTCCGTCTGTCCGTATGTATGAACGCAAGGATCTCAGAACCAATAAGATCTAGACACTTGAAATTTAAGCTGTAGGTCCTCCTAGTGCCCGCGCAGTTCTAGTTTGTTTCCGATATTCGATAACTTGCCCCATTTCCAAGTAATCGATAAAAATCGATATCAAAATCCTGTTTTGAACAATTGTGGTAAATAATATGAGCTAAAGTCACCAAACTTGAGATGTTCCTTCTAGAAAAGAATATATATATATCAAGTATCTTTCATTTTATACCTATCGCCTGTTGAAAGAAGAGGGTTCAGGGTATCCCCTATTCGGGAGCTCCCGACTAGAACCCCTTACTTGTTAAATATATTATTATTTTTGAAATTCATTATGTAACCCCATTTAATAGCTTACATTAATTACAAAATATTCAAGTTAAATTTACTATTACATTTGTGTTTATTTATTGAAAACAAAATATTGCAAATGCAAATACCACTTTTGGTATTTTAGCCTTATAAATTTTAAATACCCAATAGCTTCCGCCAAATAGAAAACTCGACATTTCGAATGATTCATCATCGATAGTTAGCAGCTCTCATTCGCACGTGCGTCAAATTAGCGGCGGTGACTTAGCGTCGATTTTTGGTACTTGGTATCGGAAAAGGAATCGGTCACTTTTAAATGCATTTATTAATGTTTTTAAGCACAAAACCCAATAAATTTAAATGCAGAATTGCAAAATATTAAATTATTTACTGTCTACATTCATTTGTTTTGGAATTTTAATTTATAATATGGGTATACCAAGGCTTTGAAAAATTAGATTTCCACCATTCTCTATATATCTTCATTCAGGGATAATGGCTTCGAAAACCGCATATACACGATTAAAGCCTATGGTTTCACCTAGCTTACTGTGAAAATTTTATGAGATTCGTCGGTACCGTTTTTTAAATATTTGGTAAAGAGTACAGCAACTACCTTGTCGGCCCCATACAAAATGACCGCAAAAAATCAACCTTAATTTTGAGCCCTAATTTCTTAACTCAGGGACAATGCCCTCAATGCACGCTATACCCTTTTGTAGATACATATTTTAGGAAGCTTTTGGCACTAATTTTAAGCAAATGGACGGTACAGATTTTGAGAAAATAATTTAATTGTAAACCAACCTCTTATAGGTCATTCATTAAGCCTATCGAACTGCTAGTTCAAACGCGAACTGAACCACTGCTTGAATACAGTGTTGAACAATTCTATAAAGTATTGGGCGGGAACAAATCAATTCGAATTATATGTATTCATTAAAAAATTCATATATAATTAAATCATAAATAATTAAATTAATAAGGTAAAGCAAATTATATGAGAAGTATTCAGTCATACTTAAAAGTGCAGTTTATGGAAAAATTGCATTTTTCTATTTTTCTCATTACATCCTATGTTAATACAAAAAAAAGCTGGCAATATTATATTTCATACTGTAAAATGGCGTCAATATTTCATCCTATATATATCAATTTCTCCGATAATGGGCTCAAATGCACGGTAGTTGTGCATATAGAGCACGACTTATCAATCATTTTGCCTTTTATTTTATTAAAATCGTCGGTGCAGATTTTAAGAAATTCTCATTTTCTATTTCTCTCATAACATCCTATGTTAATGCAAAAAAACAAGCTGGAAATATTATATATTATACTGTAAAGTGACGTCAATATTTCAACCTATATTTATCAATTTCAACGATAATGGCCTCAATGCACGGTAGTTGTTCATATAGAGCACGATTTATCAATCATTTTGCCTTTTATTTTGTTACAGAACTGCTTGTTTCTCAGTGGGCCGCGCCGGCTGGCTCATCGGCTTCTCTGGGTGTAGTCCCATCCCTGGCCCGCAGTGCGCACAGTCGATAATAACAGAGCTACAACTTCTGTACACAACACTACGCAAAACGAACCGCAAAACCGATAGCATCAAACAGTCGGAACTTCTAACTCATGAACAACATTAACAGCTGTAACAACCAGAAAATGTAAAGATCAAAGGTGAGACGCTCAATATAAATTAACAAAAAAAACACTATTTATCCACTTTACTCTTCCAGATCGGGCCCCGGTTCCGGACCCCGCGTACCCGCCCTACCTGAGACGATCACCTGATCTCGCCTCCCTCATTTTGGCCACTAGAAGGCCTGCATCAGCCCGTGTCGGCTGTTATGCCCACTCTCCCCATCAATCGAGACTTAGCCGGACATTTCTCTCTTCAGTAGATGCGTATAATTGGTTGCGTTTCTTATAATTATTAACAATTTTAACATATTTTTTCTCCTATTTTTACAGGGTATCCCCAATCTGCAATTTATTCTATGCAAGCTAAAATTGTCTTCAATTCGTCAACAGGTGCGTATTATTGCTTTGCTTTGCCTTATAATTATCACAATTGTGTATTAATTTCTAAAATTTCATTTATCTTACGGAATAAACTTTATTTAATTAACAACATTAAATGGAACAGGCGACGAAACACTGCAAAGTTATTGCCAGTCAAGAGAAGAAAAAACAACGAGATATAAACACCAGGTAATTATTGCACCAATGTGGAGCAGGTACCCGCTGAAAGAAATGCGTGTATATATATACATATATATGTGTTACAAAAAAAAAGGAAGTTATATGTTTGTCAAGAGCGCTTATAAAAATTTGCCTGCCTAAAGAGCTCTCTGGGTTTGGGCGGTAAGGGCCATCATAATATTCTGCACATATGGTGTACGACATATGTATATATATATATCGGGTATCGCTCGTGCAAAATGTATCAAAAATCTAATTATTTTCTATTTTTTTTGCAGACGCAATAATATTATTGATCTTCGTTGCCTATGCACTAAAACTCAAGCTGTGCAGGAAAACCACTGTAATTGAAGTTACAGGCACTCCCACCAGTAACGAACAGCGCCCAGATAATGTTGACGTAACAGAAACTCCCCCGGAAAACCACATAAAAAAACATAGAAGCATCCACGATCTACCTGGTTTCTAACAATCGACCGGGACGTTCGAGATCAGCGAGGGAGGAGTTAATACCTAAGTTATCCAAATATCAACTTTGGATAATCAGCTTGCCAACATTTGGTTCCCGCACGTGGCCATTCAACGTGCTGGGAAAAGCTGAAGTAAGATGTCGCGTATGCAATTTTAGGTGCATAGGAGGTCAACGCGCTCGTTGGACAGCCAAACCGTGGGATCGCAAATTCGGCACAATTATGGCACATGCCAATAATTGAGGAATCAGCGGAACCAATAAAGTTTATTGGTTCCCAAGAAATGCGAACCCCTGCGAAATGCAGAATGGGGGCATTTCCGCATATGCAACAACACCAAGCTGGAGACGCCGACGCCGACGCCGACTGCGACGCTGCTTCGTTGGACTGAGGTTTCAGTAGGTATTAATTAAGTTACAAAATTTAGTTTTATAATTTGTACTCAAGAAAAGCACATAGTGCTGATAAACAAATAAAAATAGTTTTTTTTATAATTCAATATCCTTGAATTGGTTAATTAAATGCATACCGAAATTTTTGGAATTTGCGCTTGCTGCCGCTGATAGGAAAGATAGAAAACTGAAAACACGTTTTCTTTAATCATTTCTGTGTTTCTTAACCGATCTGGATGAAATTTTCTACATCTTATTGTACTATAGAATATTCGTGTATTATCAAAAAGTAATTTTATTTAAATTGTGGCTTATATTTGTGGGCAGCATAAATTGGTGTTTTTACTTGATTTATAGCGATAAGGTAGTAGTGGGGAGGTAGCGATAGCTATAAAATGAAAGATACTTGATATATATATATACTATTCTAGGAGCTACATGTCAAGTTTGGAGTCTCTAGCTCTTATTATTTACCCAAATTGCTTAAAAACCGGATTTCGATATAGATTTATAGATAGGATTATCGATTACTTGGAAACGGGGCAAGATATCGAACATCGGAAACAAACTCGATCTGCGCGGGAACTACTACTAAAATTTCAAGTCTCTAGCTCTTATAGGTTCCTAAATCCTTGCGTTCATACATATGGACGGACGGACAGACAGACGGTCACGGCTAGATCGCCTAGGCTATTGATGGTGATCAAGAATATATATATATTTTATGGGGTCGGAGATGCTTCATTCTGCCTGTTACATATATGTGCACAAACAAATTATACTCTTTTACCCATTTTTAATGGGTTCAGGGTATAACAAGTAATAGGTTATAGTCGGGAGCTCCCGACTAGGGGATACCCTGAACCCTCTTATTCCAACACCAAATGCAGCTCGCGCTACGCGGTCGTTTGCTTTAATAGTAAAAAAGATAAATTAAAAAAAAAGTTCTCTTGGCAGGGTTCGAACTCGCAACCGACCGCACTTCTTGCCGCCGCCTCTATCCAACAGCCACACTAATAATTGAATCTTAATGAGAAACAAGTAAGAGGGGATACCCTGAACCCTCCAACTCCAACCCCAAATGCAGCTCGCACTACGCGGTCGTTTGCTTTAGTAATAATAAAGATAAATTTAAAAAAAAAACAAAGTTTCCTTGGCAGTGTCCAAATTCGCAACTGACCGCATTACTTGCTGCCGCCTCTACTCAAAAGCCACACCAGCAAAAGAAAAAATACAAATAAGAGGTTCTAGTCGGGAGCTCCCGGCTAGAAGATACCCTGAACCCGCTTCTTCCAACACCAAATGCAGCTCGCACTATGCGCTCGTTTGCTTTAGTAATAATAAAGATAAATTAAAAAAAAAAAGCTTTCCCTGGCAGGGTTCGAACTCGCAACTAACTGCACTACTTGCCGCCGCCTCTACCCAACAGCCAGGATATGGCTAGATCGATTCGGCTGTTGATGCTTATCAAGAATATATATACTTTATGGGGTCGGATATGCTTTCTTCTGCCTGTTACGTACATTTGCACAAATACATTATACCCTTTTACATATTTTTTATGGGTTCCGGGTATAAATATAGAAATTGTTGCAAATTTTAGGATTATAAAATATATAAATTATTTTAAACGTTAAAAATATATAAAAATTGAAATATATAAATCGTATTAAAAATATATAAAAATTGAAATACATAAAACGTATTACAAACGAATAAAACGAATCAATTTTAAAGTATTGATGTTGGTGCACTTGTGCATTGGAATTTATAGCCATGCCACAATATGCTTTTCTTTATTTGATTTTTTTATAACTTCATACGACAAATCTCAGGTGTCGATCACTTGCTTATCGGTATCGTATGTTATCAGAAAATACAACCGTGGCAAAACATTGGATCTACTACTAGATAGGTAAAATTTGATGGGGCAAGCGTTTTCAGTGCGGCTGGTCCAAAGTCGCCTTCGTTTTTGTTCGGGTTCGAGACATTCCCGCATGCTCTCACAGCAAGAGAGTAAGAATACATATGACCTGTGTCGTAGAACGGCATCGCTGTCTTTTTATTCGCTCACTACAGGAAACTGCTTTGGCTTACTCTCACCCATATGATTTGTGCGATAGAACGGCATCGCTGTTTTTTATATCGCTCCCACTTCAGGAAACTGCTTTGGCTTACTCTCAGTGCTCTTTCAATTAGTCTATGTACCGTTTAAATGTTTGTGTGTGTATGTGTCCGCACAAGCAAAAATGCCCACAAATTCAATTTTTCTCAAAAGTCGGTGGCATTTCTTCCCTTTAGAGGGGACGAGTAATATGAAATAATGAAAGGGTTTGCCACGTCAATGCAAAATTCTTGCATTTTAGCTCGATATTGTTGGAAAGGGTACCTAAGCGTTGGCATGTGTGCATTTAAAAGCTTTTGGACTTGCTATTCACGCATACTTGCATATTTTGTATATGAATAGAAGCATTTATGCGCTTGTGTGCCTGTTGGTCCCTGCCTGCCTGTCCGATGCAAATTTGACAATATTTCGAGATTTCTGAATTTCGAGGTCTACACACACACACACAGACTCAAATGTGTGTGAATGGTCAGATCATGGGCGCAAAATTTCAAAATTTCATTATTTGCACGCGTCTGACGCGCGCCCTTCTTTTTAATGATTTTGGGTTTGAATTGATAAATGAATGTTGATCCCTTATTACCTGCAGATCAAAATCATATATGAAAAAGCTAAATATTTAAAGACAATAAAATTATTAATACTATAAATATAAAATCGCTGCTGCAGGTAATAAGGGGTCAACATTCATTTATCAATTCAAACGCGTGCCAATAATGAAATTTTTGAAATGAATTTGCAAGAAATTCCTTAAGGCCTGAGTAGTGGGTCGAGTCGGCAACAACTCGTACCTGCTGGAAGACTTGAAAGGGAAGGAGTGTTCCATGCGACGGACATACGGGTGTAGATCCCGGTCGTGGGTGTGGTCTACGTTGGGCATTCTAATTAGCCGGCTGGGCAAACCAGTATAGGAAATGCGCACGCAGATTCTATTTTAACGGTCAGGTTCGCGTTTACAATAATATTCGTGGTGATGTTGCATTTGACGTTATCGGCGGCATCGATAGTTTGCCTAGTTGGGTGCGTTCTTTATTATCAGCCACGCCGATATCTTTTGTCATAGAGTCAGGGTATATATATTTATAGTATTAATAATTTTATTGTCTTTAAATATTTAGCTTTTTCATATATGATTTTGATCTGCAGGTTATAAGGGGTCAACATTCATTTATCAATTCAAACCCAAAATCATTAAAAAGAAGGGCGCGCGTCAGACGCGTGCAAATAATGAAATTTTGAAATTTTGCGCCCATGATCTGACCATTCACACACATTTGAGTCTGTGTGTGTGTGTGTAGACCTCGAAATTCAGAAATCTCGAAATATTGTCAAATTTGCATCGGACAGGCAGGCAGGGACCAACAGGCACACAAGCGCATAAATGCTTCTATTCATATACAAAATATGCAAGTATGCGTGAATAGCAAGTCCAAAAGCTTTTAAATGCACACATGCCAACGCTTAGGTACCCTTTCCAACAATATCGAGCTAAAATGCAAGAATTTTGCATTGACGTGGCAAACCCTTTCATTATTTCATATTACTCGTCCCCTCTAAAGGGAAGAAATGCCACCGACTTTTGAGAAAAATTGAATTTGTGGGCATTTTTGCTTGTGCGGACACATACACACACAAACATTTAAACGGTACATAGACTAATTGAAAGAGCACTGAGAGTAAGCCAAAGCAGTTTCCTGAAGTGGGAGCGATATAAAAAACAGCGATGCCGTTCTATCGCACAAATCATATGGGTGAGAGTAAGCCAAAGCAGTTTCCTGTAGTGAGCGAATAAAAAGACAGCGATGCCGTTCTACGACACAGGTCATATGTATTCGTACTCTCTTGCTGTGAGAGCATGCGGGAATGTCTCGAACCCGAACAAAAACGAAGGCGACTTTGGACCAGCCGCACTGAAAACGCTTGTCCCCATCAAATTTTACCTATCTAGTAGTAGATCCAATGTTTTGCCACGGTTGTATTTTCTGATAACATACGATACCGATAAGCAAGTGATCGACACCTGAGATTTGTCGTATGAAGTTATAAAAAAATAAAATTAAGAAAAGCATATTGTGGCATGGTTATAAATTCCAATGCACAAGTGCACCAACATAAATACTTTAAAATTGATTCGTTTTATTCGTTTATAATACGTTTTATATATTTCAATTTTTATATATTTTTAATACGATTTATATATTTCAATTTTTATATATTTTTAACATTTAAAATAATTTATATATTTTATAATCCTAAAATTTGCAACAATTTCTATATTTATACCCGGAACCCATAAAAAATAGGTAAAAAGGGTATAATGTATTTGTGCAAATGTACGTAACAGGCAGAAGAAAGCATATCCGACCCCATAAAGTATACATATTCTTGATAAGCATCAACAGCCGAATCGATCTAGCCATATCCTGGCTGTTGGGTAGAGGCGGCAGCAAGTAGTGCAGTTAGTTGCGAGTTCGAACCCTGCCAGGGAAAGCTTTTTTTTTTTTAATTTATCTTTATTATTACTAAAGCAAACGAGCGCATAGTGCGAGCTGCATTTGGTGTTGGAAGAAGCGGGTTCAGGGTATCTTCTAGCCGGGAGCTCCCGACTAGAACCTCTTATTTGTATTTTTTCTTTTGCTGGTGTGGCTTTTGAGTAGAGGCGGCAGCAAGTAATGCGGTCAGTTGCGAGTTTCGACACTGCCAAGGAAACTTTGTTTTTTTTTTTAAATTTATCTTTATTATTACTAAAGCAAACAACTGCGTAGTGCGAGCTGCATTTGGGGTTGGAGTTGGAGGGTTCAGAGTATCCCCTAGTCGGGAACTCCCGACTATAAACTCTTACTTGTTTCTCATTAAGATTCAATTATTAGTGTGGCTGTTGGATAGAAGCGGCGGCAAGAAGTGCGGTTGGTTGCGAGTTCGAACCCTGCCAAGAGAACTTTTTTTTTTAATTTATATTTTTTACTATTAAAGCAACGACCG